CCAACTGCATATGAGCTAATCGATGTGACAGGAAGCTAACACATTCCGCATACACACACCTGCAACATAAAACGATTGTGCCACAGACAGATGCTATTATATGGTTTTGTGTTCTTCTTCTTTATGCAAGACTAAACTTGTCGTGTGGAACAGCATCTCGTCCCAGGAGCCAATACAAACACCCAAGCTGACAATAACGCTATCCTCCTCTCCCAATACTCATTATGTAGTCTCCATGTTAGCTGTTGCCTGTGGTCCCGCCTGGCTAATTGACAGTTAAAGTGTTGAGGATGATGGACTGAGACGAGAGGAGAGGCAGCCAGTCTGTGATGTGATAGGCGCTGTAAGCTCACACACCCATGCAGGCAGGGCTCCCAGGACCAGTCATTTCAGTCATTACCACTGTGTAAATGGGTTGAAGAAATGACCACTTAGACATCAACACCTCTTAAAATGCCATTACACTCTTCCCTCTCCCTCTCGCTCTCTGGAGGATGCATATACCCAGTAGTTATTTCTTTGGGAATGTAGAGCGAGAGCTGATGTGGTGTTGGTAGATGTTACACCTCTCTTCCACACTTACTCTTTCCAGAGACTCTATGTAACACGTGTGATTGAAGAAGTGAAGTAGTCATACATTTTTATAACACACTGTACAAGAGCATGCAAACAGTGGATAACCATTATTTTGACTGACTGGTGGGAACGGTGAAAACCAGGAGAAGGGTAGTTATCTTGGCTTGCAGTTGTTATCTTTCTGCACATAGTGTTAACCCACACACGGATGTACACACACACACACACACACACTACACACAAACACAAACACCACACACACACACTACTCAGACAAGCAAACACACACACCGACTACTCACGCACACACATCTGACCCTAGCATGTCTGTTTCTGTTTTCTAATTCCGACAGCTCCTTGCCCCATCTGCTATTGTTATCTCTAACGCGTCCCAGCATGCTCTCTGGCCCAGCGCTGATGGCTTCTGTGAACAGAAATGCTGTAAAAAAATCTTTGTAAAGGCATTTGAGCAACACAAAAGGAAATGTCACAGGCTGTCTCCTGTTCAAGTATATCTCAGCCACAGCTAATAACACCTTCTTATTAAGCAGCATTTGCTGTCAGACTTTGGCATTCAGAAAACAAATTGGCTTCGGTAGGAAAACAAATTGACGTTCAGCAACATAAGGTGTATATCTATATTCTGCTGTCTAGGCTGCTTGATTTCTCGCTTATATCTCTCTTCATCGCTTTCACTCTCTTTTCCTCCTCTTCCGACCCTATCTCCTCCCTCTTTCTCTCTCTGTCCATCCCTCTCTCTCTCTTTCCCTTCTCTTCCTCTCTCTGCTCCCTCTCCGTGCTATGGGCAAAGCTGGAGGGTGATTTAATGGTGCTCTGCTGAATGTTTGACACCCCCCACACACATACACACATCCGCCAACTCCCACACACGATTCCCTTCCACTCTCCAACCCACGGCATGTTTCGCTGACCCGCCCAGGGTGACAGTTTATCTCTGCACTGGCCAGCTCTAACATTATTTATTTTATTTTTATTTATTTAACCTTTATTTAAGCAGGTAAGCCAGTTGAGAACAAGTTCTCATTTCCAACTGCGACCTGGCCAAGATAAAGCAAAGCAGTGCGGAAAAAACAACAACAACACAGAGTTACATATGGAATAAACAAAACGTACAGTCAATAACATTTTTTACATTTAAGTCATTTAGCAGACGCTCTTATCCAGAGCGACTTACAGTTAGTGAATACATATTTTTTTATACTGGCCCCCCGTGGGAATCGAACCCACAACCCTGGCGTTGCAAACACCATGCTCTATCAACTGAGCTACATCCCTGCCGGCCATTCCCTCCTCTACCCTGGACCAATTGTGCGCCGCCCATGAGTCTCCCGGTCGCGGCCGGCTGCGACAGAGCCTGGATTCGAACCAGGATCTCTAGTGGCACAGTTAGCACTGCAATGCAGTGCCTTAGACCACTGCGCCACTCAGGAGTACACAATAGAACATGTATATACAGTGTGTGCAAATGTAGTAAGTTATGGAGGTAAGGCAATAAATAGGCCATAGTGCAAAATAATTACAATTATAATTTAGTATTAACACTGGAGTGATAGATGTGCAGAAGATGATGTGCAAATAGAGATACTAGAGATTATAATTGGCAACTTGCGGAATAAAGAGCTGGCTTGGGCAGAAACGCACCAGCATCCATTATTGATAACAAGCCACAGACAGCATCAATACATCAACCTAAGCCATATGAGCACCACTTATCAGTGGCTGTCATGTAATGTAAAGGTGCAAAGTGGAGATATATAATTACAGCATTCCATTGTTCCTTTTTAAGAAGAATATCCACCATGGATTGCACCCATTGACTATAATTACTGTAATGGTCTCGTGTTCAGGGGCTATTGTTGAGGTGTGTAGGTGCTCATGTTGACATGTCCAGAGGTGAGGGGGAGTAGCTATGGTTGCATAATGTATTTTCTTACAGAGAGGAGAAAACATTATCATCACTGAACAGCATCTCCGAAATAGCTCAGAGAGAGTTCATACATACGTACAATACACCCAATGACAGTTGAAAGACATTCACACTTTCTCTGTACCATTGGTAGTTAACCCTTTCCGGTCACAATCCCAGTATCTGTAAGGAAACACTTTAAACTTGCAACAAAACAATACTTAGCCTATATACAAAATATATAATGTGCAACTTTATTTGACAGGGTATGCATGCAGAGATTCAACTTGCCAAAATGATAGTAACACAACAAGCAGTTTTATGGTTATCTAAAATATTTGCTGTTTAAATAAGGGCAGCAGAAGTGAAAATCTACCAATAGGCTCTTTAGTAGCCGCTACTGTAATGCATTTTTATGTACTTTCATGTAAGTCTAGCTCTCCCGACAATATTCACCTGAGACTATTCACCATAATAGTGGGATTTTGGTAGGTAATTCATCACAGTTGGGCTGTAATGGCACTTCTAGAGAAATCCCATGTCCAATTAAACAGGAATTGGAGCCGAACAATGCCCAACTCTGACAGCCTGACTTACAGATGACAGAGAGTGAGAGGGAGGAAGGTTGCTTTGACTAATGGGTCTTCCCACTGTGCACAGCCGTCAGTTCAATGTCTAGTTTTTATTTACATTTGGTTGAGCTGTCAATCTAATGTGAATTCAATGTGAAATCAATAAAAAATGTCACCATGTCATTGGATTTAGGTTAAAATTTGGGTGAAAAAAATATGAAATGCCCTTATGTTGATGACTTTTTGCAAATCCAATTAGTTAATCCACATTGATTCAACGTCATCACATAGATTTTTGGGGTTGAAATGACATGGAAACAACGTTGATTCAACTAGTTTTTGCCCAGTGGGTTGTTTGAGCACTGCAGTGGTTTTGCCCAAGGGATGTGGTGTTGTTGTAAGAGTGGTGATGGCTATCCACGTCTTTGCTCTGCTTTATCAGTCCATTCCATCTGATCTGATAAACCTCAATAACTCCTACTTTATTTCCCTGTCTTGTTTTTTTCCTTTGCACCGCTCTCGTTAAGCTACAAACTCCCGCTTGGTTTGACATTTAAGGCGGAACGCCGAGTCCACCGACCGCGGAGATGAATTACCTGCTACACGGTAGGCCTACCCAATGCTGTGTGTGTGTGTTTGTGTGCATTTGTTTGTTTTTGTCTGGATTGCTCTTTAGAATTTGACCAATATATTAAACACAGCAGTGAGCTTGAACACCCTCCAGATCACAATTCAAATGTTCACCATGGATCAAATTCAAAAGAGCAATCCGTCTCTGCTTGGGCCAAATGCTTCTATTTGGCAATCTGTGGCTATTATTAGGATGAGATCCCTGAAATAGGAACATCATCAATATAATCACCAATGAATACATCTGGACTGACCAGATGGGAGAAGAAAATCATTTTTGGACCAGAGCCATAGACACACAGAACACGACAAATACTGTTCGTACATAATGTGTCTACCCACTAGGCAAAAACTGATTGAATCAATGTTTTTTCCACATCATGTGATGACGTTGAATCAACGTGGAAAACTGATTGGATTTGCAAAAAGTAATCAACGTAAGGGAACTTCTCACCTAAATCCAATGACATGGGACATTGTTTGTTGATTTCACGTTGAATTCACATTAGTTGACAACTCAACATACAAATGTAAATCAAAACTAGACCAAACCACTCCAAAATTGGAAAAACAAAAAACACTGCTTTCATATCGCATCTATACAAGTGCAATGAGCTGCAACAGTTCGAGTGGGTCTTTTTTGTAGCTTGTGCAAGCTCTCATGGGTGTCATGGCAACCCTCACCTGTTGCGGTGGAGGAAAAGACTGCTCTGATCTGGAGCACGCTCAGTGGGGAGACTGTGGGAAAACAAGATGTGTGTTTCAGAACAACATGCAAAACAACAAACAAAAACAACAATAAGACAGGGAGGGAGGCTGCATACGATGAAATCTGAATTATAGTTAGAGTTAAAAATATGACACGAAAGAGGGGCATAGGGAATAGTAATACTTTTTCCTTTAAAAGCTATCCTAAAACTGCCTGACTGGAGCAAACTGCATTATACTGGCCAGATTTCTTTATTTTGAAAGTTACATATCTTGGAAACTTGATTGCTGACTTGCAAAACAGTTTGGGAATATATTAACAATAGACTAATGAAACAAATAGCAAATGATCGTTTTTGGGTGGAGTTTTCCTTTAAACCGCACTGATGTGAAAACACAGATGCCTACTGTAGCATCACTTCAGATGAAAAATAGCAGAGGTCACTCTGGGCTACTGAGTTGCAGCAGAAGCGGGTTAAAGATGTTTTTTTTTTTTTTACATTCCACCTCTTCCTCTTCCCTGGCAGGTGTGATCTGTGATGTCACTCAGGGAGACGAGCATGACTGAAGAGTCATCTCTATAAAACATGGCTGTCACGGGTCTCAGCGAGGGGAAGCAGTTGGCTGACACACACGCTAAACACACTGTGTCTAGAATCAGCGGTCAGGACACACATCACGCTCTGCCCATCTCCCGGCCTCACTTCATCAAGGTATGAACATCTGTCAGGGTTGTGAGGGAGTGATGTGATTACACACTTCCCTCTGAATTTATGGGCATGATGTGCATGCATGCACGCACACACATACACGCTCCCTTTCTCTCTCTCTCACAAGCCATCAAACAGGCAAAGCGTCAATACAGGACTAAGATCGAATCCTACTACGCCAGCTCTGACGCTCGACAGATGTGACAGGACTTGCACACTATCACAGATTACATGTGAGTAAGACCTTTAAACAGGTTAACATTAGCAAGGCCGCAGGGCCAGGCGGAATATCAGGATGCGTACTCAGAGCATGCGCTGACCAGCTGGCAAGTCCCTTCACTGAAATGTTCAATCTATCCCTGACCCTGTCTGTAATACCAATTTGTTTCAAGCAGACCACCATAGTCCACGTGCCCAAGAATGCCAACGTAACCTGCCTAAATGACTATCGCCCCGTAGCACTCACACCTATAGCCATGAAAGGCTGGTCATGGCTCACATCATCACCATCATCCCAGACACCCTGGACCCACTCCAATTCACATACGGCCCCAACAGATCCACAGATGAAGCAATCTCTATTGCACTCCACACTGCCCTCACCCACCTGGACAAAAGGAATACTTATGTAAGAATGCTGTTAATTGACTACAGCAGAGCATTGAACACCATAGTCCCCTCCAAGCTCATCACCAAGCTCGGGACCCTGGGACTGAACACATCCCTCTGCAACTGGATCCTGGACTTCCATAGTCCCCTCCAAGCTCATCACCAAGCTCGGGACCCTGGGACTGAACACATCCCTCTGCAACTGGATCCTGGACTTCCTGACAGGCCGCCCCCAGGTGGTGAGGGTAGGCAACAACACATCCGCCACTCTGACCATCAACACGGGGCCCCCTCAGGGGTGTGTGCTTAGTCCCCTCCTGTAGTCCCTGTTCACCCACGACTGCATGACCGCGCACGACTCCAACCCTATCATCAAGTTTGCTGTTGACACGACGGTGGTAGGACTGACGACGATGAGGCAGCCTATAGGGAGGAGGTCAGAGACCTTGCAGTGTGGTGCCAGGTCAACAACCTCTCCCTTAACGTCAGCAAGACAAAGGAGCTGATCGTGGAATACAGGAAATGGAGGGGCGAGCACTAAGGAATGAACATAGTCACACACACCCACACAGTTGTGAAGAGGGCACAACAGGACCTCTTCCCCCTCAGTAGGCTGAAAAGATTTGGCAAAGACCCTCAGAATCCTCAAAATCTCCACAGCTGCACCATTGAGAGCATCTTGACTGGCTGCATCACCGTTTGGTACGGCAACTGCAAGGCACCCGACCGCAATGCTGCAGAAATGTTTTGGTACCCTTCCCAGATCTGTGCCTCGACACAATCCTGTCTCGGAGCTCTACAGACAATTCCTTTGACCTCATGGCTTGGTTTTTGCTCTGACATGCACTGTCAACTGTGGGACCTTATATAGACAGGTGTGTGCCTTTCCAACTCATGTCCAATCAATTGAATTTACCACAGGTGGACTCCAATCAAGTTGTCGAAACACATCAAGAATGATCAATGGAAACAGGATGCCCCTGAGCTCAATTTCGAGTCTCATAGCAAAAGGTCTGAATACTTATGTAAATAAGATATTTCTGTTTTTTATTTTTAATACATTTGCAAACATTTCTAAAAACCAGTTTTCACTTTGTCATTATGGGGTACTGTGTGTAGATTGATGAGGAACATTTTTAATTTAATCCATTTTAGAATAAGGCTGTAATGTAACAAAATGTGGAAAAAGTCCAGGGGTCTGAATACTTTCCGAATGCACTTTATGTTTGGGGCAAATCCAACACAACACATCACTGAGTAGAAGTCTTCATATTTTCAGGCATGGTATGGGCTGTATCATGTAATGGGTATGCTTGTCATTGGCAAGGACTAGGGAGTTTTTTGGGATAAAAATAAATGTAATACAGCAAAGAACAGGCAAAATCCTATAGGGAAACCTGGTACAGTCTGCTTTCCAACAGACACTGGAAGAGGAATTCACCTTTCAGCAAGACAATAACCTAAATCACAAGGCCAAATCTACACTGGAGTTGCTAACCAAGATGACATTGAATGTTCCTGAGTGGCCTAGTTACAGTGTTGACCTAAATCGGCTTGAAAAGACTTTAAAATGGCTGTCTAACAATGATCAACAACCAACTTGACAGAGCTTGAAGATGTTTTTTATTTTATTATAGGCAAATATTGTACAATTCAGGTGTGAAAAGCTCTTACTTACCCCAAAAGACCCACAGCTGTAATCGCTGCCAAAGGTGATTCTAACATGTATTGACTCAGGGGGTTGAACACTTATTTTATTGAGATATATTAGTGTTTTATTTTTCATAAAGGTTTAATAAATGTTCAAAAAGTTTTTTACAATTAAATCCATTTTAATTCTCGATTGGCGCAGCGGTCTATGGCACAGCATCACAGTGCTTGAGGCGTCACTACAGACCCGGGTTTGATTCCAGGCTGTGTTGCAGCCGGCCGCGACCTTGAGATCCATGAGGCGGCACACAATTGGCCCAGCGTCGTCCGGGTTAGGGGAGGGTTTGGCCCGGCCGGGATGTCCTTGTCCCATCGTGCTCTAGCGACTCCTGTGGCGGGCCGGGCACATGCACGCTGACTTCGGTCGCCAGTTGTGCGGTGTCTCCTACGACCATTGGTGCGGCTGGCTTCCGGGTTAAGCGAGCAGTGTGTCAAGAAGCAGTGCGGCTTGGCAGGGTCGTGTTTCAGAGGACGCATGGCTCTCGACCTTCGCGGCTCCCGAGTTGCAGCAATGGGACAAGACTAACTACCAATTGGATATCACGAAATTGGGGAGAAATCCCTCTTTGTAACACAAGAACATTTTTAAAAAGTCAAGGGTTGTGAATGCTTACTGAAGGCACACACACACCACAGTAAACATTCTCCTCTCGCCTCCTCTCTAGATGTTAACTTCAGAGCGACAGTGCAGCCCGGGGCCTCCATCATCGACATGGTCAATGTGACGACGTCACCCAGCAGCAATGCCACCCCAGAGGGTCTGACTGAGGGGGGGCTGGTGGTCCTGGGCCAGAGGGAAGAGTATGATTACAACTACTTTGCCCTGGTGCTGGGCGTGCCCCTCATCCTGATCATCATCCTGGGCAACGTACTTGTGTGTCTGAGCGTGCTCACTGAGCGCTCCCTGAAGACTGCCACCAACTACTTCATCATCAGCCTGTCTGTGGCCGACCTACTGCTGGCTGTACTGGTGCTGCCCCTCTACGTCTACTCTGAGGTGAGGGAGGAGCGGAGAGTGTGTGTGTATGCTCATTCAAGGGTTTTTCTTTATTTTATACTATTTTCTACATTGTAGAATAATAGTGAAGACATCAAAACTATGAAATAACACATATGGAATCATGTAGTAACCAAAAAAGTGTTAAACAAATCAAAATATATTTTATATTTGAGATTCTTCAAAGTAGCCACCCTTTGCCTTGATGACAGCTTTGCACACTCTTAGCATTCTCTCAACCAGCTTCATGAGGTAGTCATCTGGAATGCATTTCAATTAACAGGTGTGCCTTCTTAATGCGTTTGAGCCAATCAGTTGTGTTGTGACAAGGTAGGGGTGGTATACAGAAGATAGCCCTATTTGGTAAAAGACCAAGTCCATATTATGGTAAGGACAGCTCAAATAAGCAAGGAGAAATGACAGTCCATCATTACTTTAAGACATGAAGGTCAGTCAATCTGGAAAATGTCAAGAACTTTGAAAGTTTCTTCAAGTGCAGTCGCAAAAACCAGCGCACCTGCACCTCATCTCATCACCACCCCTATATAGCCCTGGACTGTTCAGTGTTGTGTTGTGTGTGATTATTAATGTCATGTCGTGTACTCGCTCTTTGTTGTTCTCTTGCGCAGTGTTAAGTAAACCTTTACATTGTTGATTCCTGCGTCTGCGTCCTGCCTCTTCGTATCCTCAGTACTCGTCACAGAATCACACACCTGTCACGAAGATGGATGCAGCAGGTAATCCCCCTGGAGTTTCCCAGCGCCTCGACCAGCACCAGCAGCAGATTGCCCAGCTGAACGCCGCCATGCAGGAAGTGCTCCAAACACTGCATAAAATGACCATCGCTCCGGTTCCACCTCAGGGAGCGGCGAGAGCACCCAGTCCACCTCCTCCTGTGCTATCACCAACGTCTGAGGGACCCCTCGCCCTGCCGGAGCGCTATGACGGGAAAACGACGAAATGTAGAGGCTTCCTGCTACAGGTCTCACTGTATCTGGCGCGTCAGCGTGGGGCATCGCCATAGGAATAAGGCAGGATAACGCTGGTGATTTCGCTACTGAAGGGAAAGGCGCTGGATTGGGCCATGGAAGTCTGGGAAGAAGGTCAGGCCGTGGCGCTTTCCTACTCCACCTTCCTCGCTCGGTTTAGTGCGGTGTTCGATCATCCCATGGAGGTAAAGGACGGGGGTGAGTGTCTCCTCCGGCTACAACCGGGAGAGGAGGCCGCGTTTGAGTACGCCCAGAGCTTTCGCGCGGTGGCGGCGTCTTCCGGCTGGAATGAGCCTCGACGCTCACCCCATCTGTGCTGTGGAAGCCGCCCTGCCTCCGAGTCCTCAACCATGGAGGTGGGCAGCACCCCCTACACCATCACGGACCACAGATCTCCTGGCGGGTCCCTATCTAGGCGGTATGACTCCTGTCGTCGCTCCGTGAGTGTTCCGTCATCACCTGTCACCAAACCATTGTTTTTAGTTCCCCAAACGGTGAATGGCTCTTCCTTCTCTTCGCTTTCCACGGCAATGATAGATTCCGGATCAGCAGGGAACCTTATCGATAGGGAGCTGGTCTCTGAATGGGGGTTTCCCATCGTGCCACTGCCTTCTCCGCTACATGTCACCTCGCTGGACAATAAACCACTTGGATCAGGCACCATTACGGACGTCACTCTCCCCATCACCATCACCATTCCCACACTACTGGAGCACCACGAGGAGCTGTCCTTCCACATCGTCACGTCACCCCTTCACCGGATCGTCTTGGGATTGGCCGGGCTCAGACTACACAACCCCACCATCAATTGGATCATCAAGAGGATCACAGCCTGGTCCCCCTCATGCTGGAGGACCTGCCTGCAGGTGGTTTGTTGTTCCACGTCAGTGGAGAGTCCGGAGTCCGCCCTCCAGCCCAACATTCCACGTGAGTATGCAGATCTCTCCGATGTCTTCTCTGCCTCCAAGGCTAAGTGTCTCCCTCCTCACAGGCCCTGGGACTGCGCCATTGACCTGCTGGAGGGACAACACCCCCCGAAGAGTTGCATTTACTCCCTCTCCATAGTGGAGACTGAGGCCATGGAGAGCACATACGGGCAGCAAAACGGATGAACTCTCGTCAAGCCAGGTGGGCCCAATTTCTTACTCGCTTTCAGTTTATTCTATCCTACTGCCCAGGATCCCAGAATATGAAAGCCGATGCACTCTCCAGGTTGCACCATACCGGAGAAAGGAAGGATCTGGGGGGTCCTATCCTGCCTCCATCTTGGCACCTGTCATTTGGGATGTGGACGAAGACATCCGCCTGGCGGCTCAGGAGGACCCAGCGCCTGCCAACACCCCTCCGGGGCGCGTGTATGTACCCACCAGGGACCGTGACCGCCTGCTGATCTGGGCGCACACCACCCTTACGGCAGGGCACTCCGGTATTACACGCACCCTACATTCTCTCTCACAAAAATATACTGTCACGTCTCCTCCCATTGCTCCCCTCCGGCGCTCTGATTGAGCCACCGGTCTGAGCGCACCACCTCGGCAACACCGGAATGGAAACCCAACGCACCCTAATCACCTCCAGCGCACCTGCACCTCATCATCACATCACCACCCCTATATAGCCCTGGACTGTTCAGTGTTGTGTGTGATTGCTAGTGTCATGTCGTGTACTCGCTCTTTGTTGTTCTCTTGCTCAGTGTTAAGTAAACCTTTACATTGTTGATTGAGACTGCGTGAATCAGGCCTTCATGGTCGAATTGCTGCAAAGAAACCACTGCTAAAGGACACCAATTAGAAGAAGAGACTTGCTTGGGCCAAGAAATACGAGCAATGGACATTAGACCAGTTGAAATTTGTCCTTTGGTCTGATGAGTCCAAATTTGAGATTTTTGGTTCCAACCACCGTGTCTTTGTGAGACGCAGAGTAGGTGAACGGATGATCTCCGCATGTGTGGTTCCCACCGTGAAGCATGGAGGAGGAGGTGTGATGGTGTGGGGGTGCTTTTCTGGTGACACTGTCTGTGATTTATTTAGAATTCAAGGCACACTTAACCAGCATTGCTACCACAGCATTCTGCAGTGATACGCCATCCCATCTGGTTTGCACTTAGTGGGACTATCATTTGTTTTTCAACAGGACAATGACCCAACACACCTCCAGGCTGTGTAAGGTCTATTTGACCAAGAAGGAGAGTGATGGAGTGCTGCATCAGATGACCTGACCTCCACAATCACCCGACCTCAACCCAATTGAGATGGTTTGGGATGAGTTGGACCGCAGAGTGAAGGAAATGCAGCCAACAAGTGCTCAGCATATATGTGGGAACTCCTTCAAGACTGTAGGAAAAGCATTCCAGTTGAAGCTGGTTGAGAGAATGCCAAGAGTGTGCAAAGCTGTCATCAAGGCAAAGGGTGGCTACTTTGAAGAATCTAAAATCTAAAATATATTTTGATTTGTTTAACACTTTTTTGGTTACTACATGGTTCCATATGTGTTATTTCATAGTTTTGATGTCTTCACTATTATTCTACAATGTAGAAAATAGTAAAAAATTAACTTTTGACTGGGACTGTATGTGTGTGTGTATTTATGTGTTTGTGTGTGTGTGTGTGTGACCTTCCCACCATGACCTTTTAAATTGAAGAAACACATATACATACACAATTACCTGCCCTGTCTGTCTCTTCGTGTAACACCCTGGCTCTGGGACTCTATATGTTGAGCCAGGGTGTGTTCTTTCTATGTGGTGTATTTCTATGTTGGGAGTTCTAGTTTGTTTATTTCTATGTTGGCCTGAGTGACTCCCAATCAGAGGCAACGAGTGTCAGCTTTTGGCTGGTTGTCTCTGATTGGGAGCCATATTTAAACTGTCTGTTTTTCCCTTTGTGTTTGTGGGTTCTTGTTCCGTGTTGGTCTATGTTACCTAGGACGTTACGAGTCGTTTGTTGTTTTTGTTTACTGTCCGTGTTTATCGCTAATGATAAATAAACATGTTCGTTCATCACGCTGCGCCTTGGTCCTCCTCTCTTGACGACGATCGTGACAGAAGAACCCACCATACAAGGACCAAGCAGCGTGTCCAGGAGCAGGCAGACTGGACATGGGAGGAAGCGCCGGGAAAGGAGATGGAGAGGTTGGCGATGGCCCAGGTGGGCAAATCGTGGTCCTGGGAGGACATGCTCGGGGGCAAAGGGCCATGGGCTAGGATTAAGGCCCTGGCGAGAGAGGAGCAGCGGCGTCAGCAGTGTCATCGTCGGACAGACGAGAGGCAACCCCAAAAAAAAATTAGGGGGGGGCACACGGCATGGGCGGCTGGGCAGCAGGAGGCTGCCACAGGGCGATTTGGAGAGGAGGCCACCGGGTTTGGGGGGCCAGAAGGCAGGTTGGCGGAGCCTGGATGGAGAGCGGAACCAACTTCCCGTACTCAGGCATGGCAGCATGGGACTGGGCAGGTTCCGCGGTATGCGGAGCGGCGTTCTGTGCCACGAGTGGTCCGGCATAGTCCTGTACGTCCTGTGCGAGCACCCCGCACGTGTTGTGCGAAGGTGGGCATGCAGCCAGGACGGAGTGTGCCGGCTCAGCGCTCGTGGCCTCCAGTGCCTCTCCTCGGTCCCGGATATCCTGCGCCAGTGTCACGTGCTGTTATGCCAGTACGGGTACACAGCCCTGTACGTCCTGTGCTGATGCCTCACACAGAGTGTGTGAGGGTAGGCATTCAGCCAGGACGGGTTGTGGCAGCTCTTCACTCCAGGTCTCCTATCCGTCTCCACAGCCCGGCCCGGCCTGTCCCTGCTCCTCGCACCAAGCCTACGGTGTGCGTCGCCAGCCCGGTCCGGCCTGTCCCTGCTCCTCGCACCAAGCCTACGGTGTGCGTCGCCAGCCCGGTCCGGCCTGTCCCTGCTCCACGCACCAAGCCTACGGTGTGCGTCGCCAGCCCGGTCCGGCCTGTCCCTGCTCCTCGCACCAAGCCTACGGTGTGCGTCGCCAGCCCGGTCCGGCCTGTCCCTGCTCCACGCACCAAGCCTACGGTGTGTGTCGCCAGCCCGGTCCGGCCTGTCCCTGCTCCTCGCACCAAGCCTACGGTGTGCGTCGCCAGCCCGGTCCGGCCTGTTCCTGCCACTCGCACCAAGCCTACGGTGTGCGTCGCCAGCCCGGCCCTGCCTGTTCCTGCCACTCGCACCAAGTCTACGGTGCGCGTCGCCAGCCCGGCCCGGCCTGTTCCTGCCACTCGCACCAAGCCAGGGGTGCGAGTCGTCAGCCTGGTCCGGCCTGTCCCTGCTCCTCGCACCAAGCCTACGGTGTGCGTCGCCAGCCCGGTCCGGCCTGTTCCTACTCCACGCACCAAGCCAGGGGTGCGCATCGTCAGCCCGGTCCGGCCCGTTCCTACTCCACGCACCAAGCCAGGGGTGCGAGTCGTCAGCCCGGTCCGGCCCATTCCGGCTCCACGCACCAAGCCAGGGGTGCGCGTCGTCAGTCCAGCACAACCCGTGCCTGGGTCACCGGTGCCTGGTAAGGTACCGGTCAACTGCTCCACTACGGAGCTGAAGCTAACCGCTCCTGCTACGTCCAGTTCAGCTCCAGCCAGCGGGGCCAGACCGGACCAGGGGCGCTATGGGGGGTTTATTGGAGGGTGGTGGGCAAGGCCGGAGCCAGAACCGCCGCCGAGGAGGAATGCCCACCCAGCCCTCCCCTGTTTTGCTCTAGTTGAGGCGCGGTCGCAGTCCGCGCCTTTAGGGGGGGGGGTACTGTAACACCCTGGCTCTGGGACTCTATATGTTGAGCCAGGGTGTGTTCTTTCTATGTGGTGTATTTCTATGTTGGGAGTTCTAGTTTGTTTATTTCTATGTTGGCCTGAGTGACTCCCAATCAGAGGCAACGAGTGTCAGCTTTTGGCTGGTTGTCTCTGATTGGGAGCCATATTTAAACTGTCTGTTTTTCCCTTTGTGTTTGTGGGTTCTTGTTCCGTGTTGGTCTATGTTACCTAGGACGTTACGAGTCGTTTGTTGTTTTTGTTTACTGTCCGTGTTTATCGCTAATGATAAATAAACATGTTCGTTCATCACGCTGCGCCTTGGTCCTCCTCTCTTGACGACGATCGTGACACTTCGTAGTTTAAAGTCCACTGCTGACAGGACTGACAACTTGTTAACCTGGTGTTGTTGTTGTTGTTTCTGTGTGTCCCAGTTCCTGGGTGGTATCTGGACCCTGAGCACATACATCTGTGATGCTCTGATGACCATGGACGTCATGCTGTGCACCGCCTCCATCCTCAACCTGTGTGCCATCAGTGTGGACAGGTGAGTCTTTCAGTTTCAACTTCACCTGGACACTATGGTAACACATGGCTGTCAGTTCACACTAGTTTTCAATACCACACCTGTTCCTCTCTGACCTGTCAAGTTACGGTACACTGGACTCTGAAACCTAGTAACACCACATGTCCACTCACAGGGCACAAACTGGTTGAATCAACTTTGTTTCAGTGTAATTTGTCAACATGACGTGACGTGAAATATACGTGGAAAATACATTGGATTTGAAAAAAGTAATTAACTGTTGTTTTGAGGGTGAAATTTCTACCACAGGATTATGTCATCATGATAACCAAATTTCAACATAGGGTACCTTTAAAACAATGTCAGATCTTCAACGTTATATCCACTATCAGAAGTTTAAAAAAAACTATAGGCTGGGCAGCACCTCCTGGCTCCTACTGGATAATTGATCTATCTACAGCTACCCTTTGGTCTCCCATCTAGGGTTTTTGTCATAGGGTGCTGAAGGTGGGTGTGGTGTATGAATCAGGCGCAGGACGCAGAGGCTCAGTCCAAAGACTTTAGTGCAATATTCACACAAAACAAAAGCACAATAAGCCTGAAGGCGAATACAAGGCGCACACAGGCGACAAAATAAACGGCGCACAAAACATGTGCAAAGTAACCACTCCAAAACACTGGAGGGAAATAGTAGCTCCAACACGTAACAGAAGCGCAATCACACACAAACACAGACACACACAACGAGAACTAAATAGAACACTAACGAGGACTAACTAGACACAGGTGTACAACATTAAGACCAAACCAAACGAACATGAAACATAGATCGGTGGCAGCTAGTACTCCGGGGACGACGACCGCCGAAGCCTGCCCGAACCAGGAGGAGGAGCAGCCTCGGCCGAAACCGTGACAGTTTTAACCAAGCCCAGCTATCATATTTGTCACTGACTATTACCAATGTGCTATCGTGAGAATGATTGCTTAGAGATGTCCACTTAAAAAAACGAAATAGATTCACTGTTGCTATCGAAGTCATTCCAAAGGGTAGGTTGAGCAGAGCAAATTAAATGTAACCATACTCTTATCATTCAAATATCATAAATCATGCTATTTAGGCCTATAAGCTATAGGTTTTGCAAAGTCATCAACAGCTATTGTTTTATTTCAACCCAGAATTCAACAAAAAATAGACAATACAATAGGCCTAGGGTTTATCCAATCCAAAACAGCCACTGTCCTCTGCATACTTCACTGCTGTGTTGGCCTGTTTGAAGTCCATTCATGTTAAATTGATGTGTTTATGTATTTTAAATGTAGACTTTGTCATTCGCTTTGATCCGTGTCCCTGCAGGCACATCGTCATGGTGGCAGTAGTGCCCCTGAAGTACAACAGGTGTGCTCCATGTATTTCAAATGTATTTTATCCCCTATGACATGTGTGTCCCTGCAGGTACATAGCGGTGGTGGTGCCCCTGAAGTACAACAGGAACCAGTTCAGCCTGCGGCAGCTGGTCCTCATTACGGCCACCTGGGTTCTCTCCCTGGGCGTCGCCAGTCCTGTCATCTTCGGCCTCAACCAGGTGCCGGGCCGCGACCCCACCGTGTGCAAGCTGGAGAACGACAGTTTCGTGGTTTACTCCTCCGTGTGCTCCTTCTTTGTGCCTTGCCCCGTCATGCTCTTCCTGTACTACTGGATGTTCCGGGGGTTGAGACGCTGGAGCTCAGGCAGGAGCCGCTCCCAACTGACGAGGGGAGGAAAACGGAGCCTGTCCCTGCGCCTCAGCTCCGCCTTGCAGAGGGAGAACGCAGGGGACAGGGCGGGGGCCAAGGAGAAGGTGGTGTACCTCATACCTACAGGGCTCAGCCCGATGTCACCGTCGGTTGTATCGATGGCGTCGCCCACGGCGACCCTGGGGGTGGAGGACAAGCAGCAGGATGGTGTGGGGGCGGGTTTGGCGGAGAGCGACCCCATGACTACCCAGATGGACAGCGTTTCGGACGCAGACCCCACGGAGAGGCCGCCTAGGCAGGGGAAGAGCCTGAAGGAGAATGGGCTGGCCCACACTAAGGCCACCAAGAGGGGGCGCTGCAACAGCAAGAGTAGCAGAGTGAGTGGGAGGGAGCGCAAAGCCATGAAGGTCCTTCCTGTTGTAGTTGGTAGGTATGTGTACGTGTGTGTGTGTGTGTGTGTACATGCATGTGTCTTCCAAGGTCTAATATTTACACAAATCATATCAACAAAGCACATTTAGCATTGTTGGGGTAAGAAAAAAGGGGGTTGCGGTGAACTTAAATAGTATGAATTACATAAACATGGGGGTGCATGGAAATGAGGGGTTCCCCCACTGTGAGCAGAATACATAACCTCATAATCTGCAGATGATTGTTGACACATCAACTAGGATTAAAGCGCAGGGCAATTTGTGATTGTTGCTGTTTTGGTAATCAGTGCCTGCATTGGAGGGTGAGTGGTTTCACCTCTTCTCTGAGTATAGGGTTAGGGTTAGTATATCCAGCTTCTCAAGCTCCATTTCAGCGTGCTTCTATATATAGCTAGAGCACTCCAACTCTCTCCAAGAGTGATAAGAATTATTTTTGTCTTCATTTGTTGCTGTCTAATTTGTTTTTTGCTAGCTAGGGCAATTTACTTTACGTACTCTCCTCCCTTTCTGCATAGTATGACTCTCACTGTCCCCTTTCCTCCCGGGCCAGCTCGGCCCTATCCTTCTGCTCAGTGGCTGAGTAACTCAGGTGAGCAACAATGGAGAAAAATTTACTTCTGGAGGACCTATCATCCTTTCACTCCCTCCTCTCTACCTTCACTTCCCATGTAGCCGCTGCTAACACCACTTTCTATATCTCCAGATTTCAAGCTTCTGCCTCTAACCCTAGGAAACTCTTTGCCACCTTCTCCTCCCTCCGTAATCCTCAAACCCCATCCCCCCCTCTCTGCGGAAGACTTTGTCAACCCCTATGAAAAGAAGGTAGACGATATCCGCTCCTCATTCACTCAGCCTATTGAGTCCACTTGTCCCACTCACACTGAACTACCTTACGCCTTGACCTCTTTCTCCCCTCTCTCTCCAGATTAAATAATAGTGACGTCTGTCCACCTGACAACCTACCCACTCGACCCCATCCCGTCCTCCCTTCTCCAGACCATCTCATTCCTAACTTCCCTCATCAACTCATTCCTGAACACTGGCTGCGTCCCCTTTGACTTCAAAAGTGGCCAGAGTCGCTCCCCTCCTCAAGAAACCAACACTCAACCCCTCTGACATCAAACATTACAGACCGGTATCCCTTCTTTATTTTCTTTCCAAAACACTTGAGCAAGCTGTCTCTGACCAACACACTCGTTATCTCTCTCAGAACGATCTTCTTAACCAGTCAGGCTTCAAGACGGATCACTCAACCGAGACCTCTCTCCTCTGTGTCACGGAGGCTCTCCGCACTTCCAAAGCTGACTCTCTCCTCTGGCCTCATCCTCCTAGATCTATCTGCTGCCTTGGACAGAGTGAACCACCCTCTCAGCGCTGGGCGTCTCAGGCGCTGCACACTCTTGGATTGCATCCTACCTGGCAGGCCGCTCCTACCAGGTGACGTGGAGAGGATCTGTGTCTGCACCACGTGCTCTCACTACTGGTGTCCCCCAGAACTTGATTCTAGGCCCTCTCCTCTTCTCTCTATATACCAAGTCAGTCAGCTCCGTCATATCCTCATATGGTCTCTCCTATCATTGCTATGCGTATGACACTCAAGTACTTTTCTCCTGCCCCCCTTCCTTCTGTTCGCCGAAAGGCATGTGGGAGACTCCCCAAACATATGGAAGAAGGTACTCTGGTCAGATGAGACTAAAATGGAGCTTTTTGGCCATCAAGAAAAACGCTATGTCTGGCGCAAACCCAACACCTCTCATCACCCCGAGAACACCACAGTGAAGCATGGTGGTGGCAGCATCCTGCTGTGGGGATGTTTTTTATCGGCAGGGACTGGGAAACTGGTCAGAATTGAAGGAATGATGGAATGGCGCTAAATACAGGGACATTCTTGAGGGAAACCTGTTTCAGTCTTTCAGAGATTTGAGACTGGGACGGGTGTTCACTTTCCAGCAGGACAATGACCCTAAGCATATTGCTAAAGCAACACTCGAGTGGTTTAAGGGGAAACATTTAAATGTCTTGGAATGGCCTAGTCAAAGCCCAGACCTCAATCCAACTGAGAATCTGTGGTATGACTTAAAGATTGTTGTACACCAGCGGAACCCATCCAACTTGAAGGAGCTGGAGCAGTTTTGCCTTGAAGAATGGGCAAAAATCCCAGTGGCTAGATGTGCCAAGCTTATAGAGACATACCCCAATAGACTTGCAGCTGTAATTGCTGCAAAAGGTGGCTCTATAAAGTATTGACTTTGGAGGGGATGAATAGTTATGCACGCTCAAGTTTTCTGTTTTTTTGTCTTATTTATTGTTTGTTTCACAAAAACAAAAAATATTTTGCAACTTCAAAGTGGTAGGCATGTTGTGTAAATCAAATGATACAACCCCCCCAAAAATCTATTTTAATTCCAGGTTGTAAGGCAACAAAATAGGAAAAATGGCAAGGGGGGTGAATACTTTCGCAAGTGTTTTTACTGATATCAATTTTGTTTATGAATTATTAAGTGATTAAAACTTGTGTAACGGAAAATTCAGAAAAATAGTAGAGTATAGTTCAGTACTGTACAGTAGAGTAAAGTTCAGTAGACAGTAGAGCACATTAGGGTTGAGTACACTATAATGTACTGTATTGTACTGTACAGTACTGAACTCTACTGTACTTTACTGTACTCTACTGAACTATACTCTACTTTACTGTACTCTACTGTTCTATGCTGTACTGTACTGTACTGTACTCTACTGAGCTCTACTGTGCTGATGTCCAAACTTGTGAAACATAGACATCTATGATTGGTTTAGATTTGGTCCGGACCAACCAAATTTGGTCTTGTTTGGGGGCAGAGGTCATTAAAATAATAGCCAGTGTGTAGAATAATACCCAAATATGCAAAGGAGGATATTACATATTTATATTTTTGTGTACCTATTTAGGATATGTCACGATAAAGAGAATGACATTCATATCCATAATTATGCATTTCTGTGAGTACAAATCAGGGACCCATGATGAATTCCGTTACCGCAATTCCGTTACCGGGTGTAAATCACTTCACTTACTGTAGTTAAATAACCAATAAATAGATTTTGATTAATTATTTTTTCCCCCTCATCAATCTACACACAATAACCCATATTGACAAAGCAAAAACAGGTTTTTAGAAATGTTTGCTAATTTATTTATTTAAAAAAACAGAATATCACATTTACATAAGTATTCAGACCCTTTACTCAGTACCTTGTTGAAGCACCTTTGGCAGCAATTACAGCCTTGAATCTTCTTGGTTATGACGCTACAAGATTGGCACAACTGTATTTGGGGAGTTTCTCCCATTCTTTGCAGATCCTCTCAAGCTCTGTCAGGTTGGATGGGGAGCGTTGCTGCACAACTATTTTCAGGTCTCTCCAGAGATATTTGATCGGGTTCAAGTCTGGGCTCTGGCTGGGACATTCAAGGACATTCAGAGACTTGTCCCGAAGCCACTCCTGCGTTGTCTTGGCTGTGTGCTTAGGGTCGTTGTCCTGTTGGAAGGTAAACCTTTGCCTTCCAAGGATCTCTCTGTACTTTGTTCTGTTCATCTTTGCCTCGATCCTGACTTGTCTCCCAGTCCCTGCCGCTCAAAAACATCCCCACAGCATGATGCTGCCACCACCATGCTTCACCGTAGGGATGGTGTCATGTTTCCTCCAGATGTGACGCTTGGCATTCAGACCAAATAGTTCAGTCTTGGTTTCATCAGACCACAGAATCTTGTTTCTAATGGTCTGACAGTCTTTAGGTATCTTTTGGCAATATCCAAACGGGCTGTCATGTGCCTTTTACTGAGGATTGGCTTCCGTCTGGCCACTCTACCATTAAGACCTGATTGGTGGAGTGCTGCAGAGATGGTTGTCCTCCTGGAAGGTTCTCCCATCTCCACAGAGGAACTCTAGAGCTCTGTCAGAGTAACCATCGGGTTCTTGGTCACCTCCCTGACCAAGGCCCTTCTCCCCCGATTGCTCAGTTTGGCCGGGCAGCCAGCTCTAGGAAGAGTCTTGGTGGTTCCAAACTTCTTCCATTTAAGAATGATGGAGGCCACTGTGTTCTTGGGGACCTTCAATGCTGCAGAATGTTTTGGTACCCTTCCCCAGGTCTGTGCCTCGACACAATTCCATCTCAGAGCTCGACAGACAATTCCTTCGACCTCATGGCTTGGTTTTTGCTCTGACATGCACTGTCAATTGTGGGACCTTATATAGACAGGTGTGTGCCTTTCCAAGTCATGTCCAATCAATTGAATTTACCACTGGTGGACTCCAATCAAGTTGTAGAAACATCTCAAGGGTGATCAATGGGAACAGGATGCACCTGAGCTCAATTTCGAGTCACATAGCAAAGGGTCTGAATACTTATGTTTTCGCTTTGTCATTATGGTGTATCGTGTGTAGATTGCTGAGGATTTTTATTTATTTAATCAATTTTAGAATAAGGCTGTAACGTATCAAAATGTGGAAAAAGTCAAGGGGTCTGAATACTTTCCGAAGGCACTGTATTCCTGTATAGAATTTTCAATAAATTTACTAAAATGTCTAAAAACATGTTCTCACTTTGTCATTATGGGGTATTGTGTGTAGATGATGTCATAGTATGCACGACAGTGTTAGGTGATTTCATAAAGCAGTACGTTCGTCAGTTATCTCTAGGCATTCTGGTCAGAAGGGCATTAAAACAACTTACTTAGAAAAGTACTCCTCTGACTGGACATTCACATTATATTACATGGTGTCAGAAGTGGGATGACAAGCTCACATCCTACTAAGAAAGTGGACTATGGCAAAGTTTGACCCACTGCAAAACTTTAGCTTTGATAAACCGACAGAATGATGGATTGGAAACAGTTTTACGAGATTCAGAACCGCGACCAAGTTTGATCAGGAAGACGGCGATGTGCAGGTCAGTTCCC